CCACCCCCCCACCCCCAAAAAAAAAAGAAATTACTTGCTATGTGATGGTAAAACTGTGTCCTGAACCTAATCTCACGCTCATGCAAGACCAATCTTTTGTTCAACTTTACCAGTCTGCTTCTTTTGCCATAAATAGGCATGTTCTTTTCATGTTGTCCCCAATGAAAATAATAGCAAAGAAAAAATAATCAGCTGCTTGTTACAACTTTCCAATGCAACAAGCTGGACAGCTTAATTAGTCGAGGCCAAAAGCAATAGCCACAAGTTTGCCAATTTCAAAGACAAAACTCAGTATTTCAGAAAAGGGCTACTTTTGAGCCCGAAGAGTAAATTACCAAAATTCTAAACCAAAAAAAATTGCCCCAAAAGGAAACATAATAGTAAGTCATAACATTCATATTGGAGCTATATCCTAGTCTCTCCCGTTTTAAGGGGGATTATCCCATAACAGATTTCGAGCTAGAGATACCATACCTAATATATATGAAACCAATTTAGAAAGCTAAAATGGCCATAGTAGCAACATTTGTCAAAAAAAGAAATATCTAAAGCCAACCTAAGAAAATATATAATTCCCTTTATGGACCAGTAAATCCAATGGACTGTGGTAGAATTTCAAACTCGAACCGATAAAGTTAAAATCTTGGATCCGCCTCAGCAAAGAAATCAAAATCACGAGTCACAATTCAAAATTAAATTGAACACGATACCTAAATGGTACTTAGTTCGATCAGTAAGAGTCTTCCGATACCGAGCCAAAACACTAGCCATATAGGCTTCCTTATCACCGGTAGATTCATCATCAGCATCAGGTTCCGTAACAGCTAAGCACGTTGTATGTATGTTCCGCCCTAACACAATCTCCCTCTTCTGCTCCTCACCGTCATTAACCGCGCCATCTACATCGTCCGATTTCACCACTGGCGGCACCGGCTCCGCCACAGTCGTCAGATCAAGTCGACTGTCCGCTGCCACCTCTTTTCCGATCACAGCGGAGCTGACCGATTCAATTACTGCGCTTGTTCCTACCATAGCTCTGTTCGAATCAACAATCGCTGCTTCCATTTTAGTAAAATTTTATCAAATCGTCAATTTTTATAATTGTATACAAAATTAGTTACAGATCAATCCAACAAAATTAGAACCGAAAATACATATGGATTTCAATTATCTAACCGATTATTCATATAAAAAAAGAAATTTGCAATTTTATTTTTTCCCGCAATGTATGACAGAAAAAGTGCAGGCGTAATATATGAATATAAATGCGGAAAAATAGGAATCAGTGGATAAATGTATGGTTTTTACCTGAATTAAGAGAGATTGTTGTATAGGGAAGACCGGCAGTATCGGCTCAGCAATTCTTGATTTTGCGGAGAGAGGAAAAAGAATGAACAAATATGGTTCTGTATTTATAGCCTAATAACTGAATATTTATTTCTTTTCATTTTTAGTCTTTTTCTTATATTTACTAATCAGTCCCTCGTGGTACTTTATTTAGATCGGAACTCCCTCATGGAATCCTTATGATTTTCCTAGGCGCTTAGACATGAAGGTCTATTTGGAAAGCTACCTGCTAATCGGAAGTGGCGTAATTATTATGTTAGTAATTACGCAACCTAGTAATTATACAATTTAGTAATTACGACGATCTATTTGTTTGTCACAACATAATTACAAGCGTATTATTTGGTTGCACAAGTGTAATTACATAGTTAGATTAAATTTTAAATGAATTATCAAAACTTAAAAGTTAAAAATAATAAATATATGCCTATACGTAATTTTTTATAAGTATAAATGATATTAGATTTGGTATTTAAGATGCATATTTTTTCTTGAATATACACTGATTAGTAATCATATATTTATAACTAATATTGTAAAATAATTTTTATATATATTTAAAATTAATAATATTTAGTTTAATTAATTATAAAAACTAAAAACATACGTTTTGTAAGAACATCATGGAATGCATGTTTGATAAAATAAATTAATATTTATAAATATAATATCATAACATTATGCAAATATTTGACAAAATTAATCTATCAATTCTAACTTAAAATCAGTATTTTAAAAGGCGTGGGCGTAAGGCGGGACGTTTTACATATGCCTCAGCGAGGCGTAAGCCCCATAGGATATTTAATTTTTAATATTTTATAAAATAATATAATTACAGTAAATATTTTATAATGTGTGTGTGTGCGCGCGCTCTATCCCCACAAAAAACTAGTCAAAACAATCTATTATACGCTACTTACAAAGCACAAGTAACTTGAGTGTAAAAGAATAACGTTTTCTATATTGAGGGAAAAAAAAGGATGACTAACCTGCAATTTGAACTTTGAACTTGCTGCTATGAAGGAGAATGGAGTTCTCTTTGTACTTGTAAAAAAAGGTGAATATTCGTTGCTTTTGGGAGATATTAGCATACTAGCGGACAAGATAAAGAATTGGGAATGACCATGAATTAGGGCTTCAATCGATAAAAAATATCTTGACTTTTAAATTTAATACATTTCAGTTCCTTTTTAAAACTTTTGAGTAATTACCAAGTTGACTTTTAAGAATTTGGGTATTATATGAAAGACTTTTATTTTAATTTGAAAAAGTCTCTAGGGCTTTTGCCTCACTAAAAAAATGCGCCTCAAATGCCCGAGCGTACGCCCCGAATTGTTGGGCGTACGCCTCTTGAGACTTTCTCCCCACACTATCGCCTCGGGGCGTTTTTGGTGCGCCTCGCCCCGAAAGTGCCTTTTAAAACACTGCTAAAAATGAACAACATGCAATATGAAATAACAAGCCAATACTACTAAAATAAGTAAATTGGAACCATAATATAACACATTTTCAAAATTCCAAAAAAAAAATTTAAAAAAAATTAAACATATGTCAGATTCCAACATAATAAAAATAAATTTAAATACAACTTAAGATTAGGAAACATAATAAGTTTATAACCTCATTCAACAACGAAATTCTACTTTAATAACATCACTCATTATATGCCAAAATTGTTAATGACTCATTATTTATAATATTAGGAGGTGTAGTTTCAAAAACTAGAATAATAACGCAGTTATGCTACATGAAGAAAATAAAATAAATAAGAAATAAAATATACGAGCAATTACATGGAATCACAAGAAGTAAAGGTAGAGAAATAAAAGATAAATAATGTACAAAAAATATATTTTTTAAAATTAAAAAAGAAATTAAAAGGTAAAATTAAAATAAAAAATAAAAAATAATGGAAATAAAAAGTTATAAAAAATAAATTAAAATAAAAATAAAAAGAAAATAAATTAAAAAGTAACCTTGTAATTACAACAAATATATCAAACTGTGTAATTACACTCAATTACACTCAAATTCAATTACTATGTAGCTATTCAAACAGGCTCGAAGTGATTGATATTTGAGAAAATATAATATTTGAAGTTAATATTGGAAAAGAATATTTGGAAATTGGAAGTGTGATTGGATATGAAAATATATTAAAATATTGTGAGCAAAAACTTGAAAAACTACCTAAATCTATTTTTCAAATTTCATATTTCAAGTTTGAAATTGAAGTGATGGGCAATTTGATAAACAACCACTTATTTGAAATAATCTCTAAATATTATTTCAAACTTTTTAAACAAAATCTATGGTTCATTCCTCGAGTTCTCTAGAATTATGTAGCATGTTTGGCCAAACTTTTTTTGAGGCAAAAGTATTTTTATTTCGTCAAAAGTATTTTTTTTTCCTAAAATTAAAGTGTTTGGCTAAGCTTTGAAAGGAAAAAAAGTGTTTTTGAGGAGAATCAAAAACAGTTTTTGAGAAGCTGAAAAAAATAGCTTCTCTCCGAAAGCAGTTTTGAAAAAAATACACTTAGAAGTACTTTTTACAAGTTTGACCAAATATCAATTGTTACTCAAAAATACTTTTTAAATTAAATAATCAAACACAAATTATTTCTCACCAAAAATATTTTTTTTGAAAAGACCTTTTAAGAGGTACACTTTTCAAAATAAGCTGATTTTAAAAGCTTGGCCAACCAATTTGCTTTCCTCGAATAATCTGGAATCAACAGACGAGTCTACCCTATTTACTCCCTCCATCCGATTTATGAATAAACTCTTTTGCGAGTTTAAAAGAAAATGATTTGAACGAATGATTGTAATAGTTTATAGTAGATAATATATAAGTTAGAAGTTTAGGAAATATGAAAGAATAAAAATAGTAGCGTCATCTTAATTTGCCTTTTAGAAATTGGTGGAGTTGCCATTTTAAGAAACTTAATTACTTAAAACATTATCACTGCCCCTTGAGAGTCCGAACAGACGTCTTCTTTTTTTTTTTTTGGTAAGAAAGATGAACAGACGTCTTCTTTTTTTTTTTTTGGTAAGAAAGATGAACAGACGTCTTCTTTATATTGTCTAAATACTAAAAAAATGGAGTATTGATATTGGATGGCTCGAAAATTTTCAGATTACTTGGTTTCAAAAGGTATCTACTACTAGTAATATTAGAAAAAGAAAAATAAAGATACCAAAGAAAATTAATTGTTAATTAGTTTTAAATCACTAGCTAAATCAAGCAGACAAATATGAAACAAAAAAATTCATTTTTAAAAAAATCTGAATTAATTTGATAGATTCAGTTGCAATATACTCACTATTGTAAGTTCAATCATGCACCTAAGTACAGATTTAGTATAAGTAAAGGGTCGGATCTCGTCAAATGTCAATTTAACATTATTCACAAGTTCACCTCTCTAAAAAATAAAAAAATAAAAAAAACAAAAAAAAAAAACCTTAAAACAATCTGATTTTGAACTGACAAGGGAAGCTATTACTAAAAAGAAACAAAAAGAACAAAAGAGAATTAGTACATTACTTCTAGCCTGATTGGCCGAGCTTATTTTTGGGCCAAAAGTATTTTTTTTTGTCAAAAGTATTTTTGGCCAAAAATTGAGGTGTTTGGCCAAGCTTTTGGAAGGAAAAAAAGTGCTTTTTGAGAAGAAGCAGAAACAGTTTTTGGGAATCAGAAAAATAGCTTCTCTCCAAAAGCACTTTTCTGAGAAGCACTTTTGAGAAAAATATACTTAGAAACAGTTTTCAAAGGCTTGGCAAAACACTAATTACTATTCAAAAGTGCTTTTCAAATTAATTAGCCAAACATAAACTGCTTCTCACCAAAAGTACTTTTTAAAAAAGTATTTTTGAGAAAAGCACTTCTCAAAATAAGCTTATTTTAGAAGCTTGGCCAAACAGGATTCAAAATAATGAGTTGAATAATAAAAGGATTCAAAATAATTTAAAAACTTAAGCGAGACGAATTCATAATTTATAAACATAAATTTTAAAAGATACTATGAAACTGTGAAATACACTTACGACTTGTTTGGATGGTTGTTACATATTGTATTGTATTGTATTGTTACTTTAAATATAATATTTATTTTGATTGTTACTTATTTTATAGTATCGTATCGTTAAATTCATTGTTACGTAATGATGAAAAGTGTCACTTTATGTAACAACCTATTTGGCGTGGTCGCATTATAACTTTATTTTTTCTTTTCATCTTGTCCTTCCTTATTATTAAATAATCTTATTTTATCATTTACCCTACCTATTTATATAAATATTTTACCTCGTAACCTTATTTTTTATTGTAAAATTGCAAATTTATTTTTTCATATTATTAGTATATGATATCATGAAACGACGACAAATAATACAACAACAACAACAAAAACATACCCAGTGTAGTCTCACAAGTGGGGTCTGGGATGATAGAGTGTATGCAGACCTTACCCCTGCCTTTAAAAAGACAGAGAAGCTATTTTCAGAAGACCTTCGGCTCAGGAAGGGGGAGGGGAGGGGCAATAACAAAATATTTCTGAAAAGAATGGCATCGCCCGGACTCGAATCGGAGACCTTCAGTGTGTTAGACGGCGATAAATAATATAATTTATCTAAATAATATATATATATATAAAACTAACCATCCAAACAATATGTTAAAAGTTTCAAGACTTCATGGGAATGCTTTCTAGTTTTTTTATTCATTTTACTTTTTTGTTTATATTATTATTAAGTAATAATAGTTGCTGACTCGTCCATCCTTATCCTTTCCAGTTACATGCTCTTAGTTGCATATTTCAATTGTTATAATTATTATACAAAAAATGAAACGTTCATTGATACTATCTGAATTGGATTATATTATATTATTATAGAAAGAGAGGAAAAAAGATACGTATTCGCAACCAATGATGAAGAGCAATTGGATTCCCAAGATTCAGTAGGGTAGCAAAAGGTGAGTCATGTCATGTGTAAATATCTGAATTTGTAGGACCACTGTTTCTGGCACTTTGTCCTATAACCCATCTGCTTTATAAGGGGCACAAATTTATGGCAAATCTATGGTCCTCCATGCAGATGGTAAATTGCTTCTGTAGTCCTTATGTTTGCTTAAAATGTAATTATACCCTTTTATTTGAAAATATTTTATAGTTATAGTACAAAGATACCCAAACTTAAACTACATCCTTACACTTTCTTTGTGAACAAAAAACATCCTTGAACTATTCATAAATTAACAACTTTCATCACTCCCTTTAACATCTTTGAAGAAACTAAGGGCTCGTTTGGTATGAGGGATAAGGGATATGGGATAAGTAATTCCGAGATTAAATTTGAAATAAGTTTATTCTATTTTTGGTTGGGATAAAATCGTGGTATAACTAATTTCGGGATTAGTTATCCCAAGATTGCATTATTTTTTATCCCTATGGGTGGGTGAGATACTAATCCGATCCTCGGATAATTAATCATGGGATAATTTATTTTCCAAACAAACGACCCCTAACATTTCCCGTCAAAGTTTGAGTTATAATTTAGGGATATTTTCTGCCGAAAACTCCATGTTTATAGTTGTGGACAAAAGTTTTGGTAGGATAATTAAACTTTAGGTACTATTCATTTACTAATTACTTTATAAAAACGTGGTACTCTGACTATCTGATATGAATTGTATCAATTGCACAACTGCGAGAGTAGTACATAGAGCTTGAGTAGTAGTACGAGAATAGGAAGTAGTTAAGTCAGTTTATAGTTTGAGAGTTAGCGGTTTAGTCCCTAGAGTATTTTCATTTTGGCCCAGTTAGTATTATATTTCTTTAACTTTAGTCTCCATCTCAGTAACGTTATATGTATTGCACTTTACCCATTTGAGGATTATGAATGAGAATACTAGTTCCTTTCTCTTCTCTCTTAGATTGCTAGCTTAGATCTCATTATTTTCTTTGCAAGTTCACAGATTATATCACTATCATGCATTCAAGTAACTAATCTAAGTTGAAGTAACTAAAAGATGATAGGAACGAAGGTAACAACATTCTAATCCATTTACTTAGGTTGCATCAATACGTTATCAAATTGAACTCTTCTAGTAAAAGTAACTACTGAAAATAGGGCCTATGGCAACACTATTTTCAGCAACGGTTGTGAAACCGTTACTATAGACTGTATATCGCAACGATTGTAACCGTTGCATAAGGTTTTGCTATCACCACACTTTAGCACTGAAGTCGTTGCATTAGTGTCGAAACCGTTGCAGTATAGTGACTTTTTGCAACGGCTTTTGTAATTGTTGCAATAAATAAGGCCCTCCTACAATTGTGACACTACTTTCCTCGACTAACCTCACATTTGAGAACCGTCTACCACCATCAAAACCAAAAGCGATGGCCGCCCAACTTCAATAATTTCACCACACTTACTGTTAGACTCATGCAATCTATCCTAAAGCCATCAATTCATCCCGCAAAATCGTCGTCGGTAGATCTATTTGAGGCTTCTTCGCTAGAAATCGGTGGCTGAGGGAGAACAAGAGGAAGTTATAAATTTTTAGGGTTTCTTCCTTAATCATCTTTTTAACTTATTAATTTCTTGTTGAGTCCATTATTTTCTTTCAATTGAAGCTTTGAATCTAAATTGGGGATCTCTTAAGGTTTCTTATATTGTAATTCCTTCCCTTTGCTCTTGATTTTTTAAAGAAAATAGAATATTTCTATCTAATTTTCGTTTATATCCTTATAGTTGTTTGTAAGAAGGATGCACTGATTATGTTTTCTGTGTTGTTCATAGTTATAATTTTGGCCCAATTACAAGTCCCAGCTCAGGTTTTGCTTTGCCTCTCGCCTTTGGTGGTTTACTAGGGCTGCTATATCTATGCTTGAGCAGGTACAATTTGGTCTGCACTCTAAAAATAGTTTGAATTTTTATACTATGAAAACAACTACTTATCTTTTGGTAGTGGCCGTCTTTTGCTTTATAATATTCATGTGAGGACTTTGTGTCTCTATAAATTTGTTGCTTTGATCTAACAGTTGTTGAAATATTTTTTTTCTTTAGTTCCTCTGTTTTGCTTAGGCATTAAAGTTTTTTCTTTTTAAATATCATGTATTAGCTTGTGTGTGTGTGTGTACACACACACACTTGAAGATTGTATACCTTGTAATGCTTAGTGAATAATAATCAAACTGTAATCATATTTTTGGCTATTTCCTTCAATATATTTCTAGTATTGATTACATGGTGTCAGTCTGTTGTGACTAGAAAAGTTCAAGAAACTAAACTTTAAAATTAAAAAACATATCTAATGCTTTTGTTCGTTGTAATACTTTGGTATTGTTCAATATTCAATATTTCTTTATTTTCATTTGTTTGTACCTTTATGTTGTCTATGCTCCAAGGTTTAGACCTATCGTGACATCTGTTTTAATGACATGTTACTTGATAAAGAGCTAATACCAATGCTAGTATCTTGTAGCAATCTGAATGGATGAAAGTAAGTTATTGCAACAGGTTGACCAGTTTAGCTGTTTCATCGGCCAAGTGTTAGACATAGTTGATGTAATACACTTTTGTGGGATTGAGGCACAAACTATTTGTATTATGAAGAACTATATATTATTTCTGGAGATTGTTTTCTCAATGTAGTCGGAGATTGCTGTTTTATCCTGTAGAAGAATAGAAAATATTTAACTACTGGAGGTCCCTCTTCATCTATTTTTATTGTGAAGAACAAAATATATTTTCTGAAAGCGAAAACGACAATTTGATCTTGTTTGTCAATTTCTTAATTTATGTTTAGTTGTTATGGTTTAATAGAATTTGAAGATTGCGTACCTTGAAATGATTTCGATCTTAAACCGTTTTCTTGGAATTTGTGGAGTGAACATCTTAAAACTGTAGTTTCGATCTTAATAGCAACCTCTTAAATTTATGAGTGCATTTGTGGATGCAGGGAAGTGAATTAGTTGTCGAAAAGGTTCCCTTTCTCCAAATTTTTTCTTAACTAAGTTAGATATAAGGTTGAATAGCTTTCACCGTGATGTAATTTACTTATAATATTTTCATTTGCATGTAACTCCGTTGGCTGCCTGTAGCAATTGCTAATTCAATCGTTATATTTTCATTTTGTTAGGTTTGCAATTGGCTTTATCTCCTACTATGGCCTTCTTGAAGGTATACCCATTTTCTTAATCTTCTTGCCGTTTTATTCCTTTACATTTCTTTTTCCACTTATGCGAGTTTGAAATAAAGACTTAGGTGGTGATCATTGTTGAAGGTGATTGTTAAGCCTTCAAACATCTATGAAAGTGGTAAAATTAGCTAAATTATTATCTTGCTTTGACATCTTGATGTGTTTGGTCATATTGTTACGTTCCTTGTACTACCACAAGTTTTCTTCCAATCTAAGATAATACAAAGTTCATCTCTATTTGGACTTTGCCTAAATTCCTTGAAACTCTTCTTTATCATAGTTGGTACTTGTGATGAGGGCGTACAATGCAGTTAACACGCTCTTGAATTATTCTCTGACAGTTCTTTTTGCAGTCTTTTTCTTGATGTCACAACTATAGTTTTTAGTTTCTAATTTTATCTTTACCTTTCTTTTGACTGGGCATTCAACTATGTCAAAATTTCAGTTTGGATTGTTAGTAGTATGTACTTCAACATTTAGACGATTATGCTTCCAAGTGAATAATAAATTATATTGAAAAATTGAGCTTCTTGTTAGTACTTTTTCAGGTGAAAAACTTTGAACTTAACTCCATTTATCAATATAGCAGTTTAAATATTTCTGGAGTGGACTGGTCAATTGGATGATGGACCATAGGTTAGAAAAAGCTGTCAAATTATGTGGCCTTCTATGCGTGTAGAAATTCACCATTATCTTGTTATAGCAAATCATTCTATGGTATATGACTTATGCTTCGGTAGTTTTATACCTCTGTCCATCATTGCAAGTAACAATTAGAGAAGAAAACTTAAGCACAATTTGCATAATGAATTCTTTTGTTGCATAAAATAATTAATGCTTGGTTGAGTACTTGAACTATTCCCTATTCCACAATAGCAATGCTTATCTAGGACCTCACTATTTTATATCTTAGCTTTCGGCTTAATTTATTGTTTGACTTTTTTTAATTAATTATATGTAATTCCTAATCTGACAAATATTGATTTTTTTTTATTTATGGTTTTATAGGTGAAGCATATGAACAAGGGTAGATGAAAGGTGTGAAGATCTTACTCAAGAGTATTAGTTGATTGTTGTTAAACTTTTAGATGTTCTAGAATCTTTTATTTTAGAAACTTTTGCCAACTTATGTATTAACTCTTGAATTGCCAAACGACATTGTATATTTAGCTTTTATATATGGATAATACTAGTTGGATATTTTAGATATAATTTTATATATTGATGAGGAGTTTCCTTTTGAGATTTATATAAATTTTAATGTATTACATAATTTATTATATAGGTAAATAAATATGGTATAAAACCACCAAACCGTTGCAATAACTTGTAGTGACCGTTGCACTAGCTCATAATAATTGTTGCAATAGCCTCAACAATCAATACATAAAACAATATTGCAACGGTTTTGAAGCGTTCTAGTTGACAAGGCAACCGTTGCGATAGATCTGGCTATTGCAACATTTTGTAAACGTTGCAATAGACATGCTTATGGCAACAGTTTCAGAACCGTTACGAGAAACCGTTGCAATAGACCTATTGGCACGTGCTTTGCATAACCGTTCCAATAGGTCTATTGCAACAGTTTTTCTAGCTATTGCAACGGTTGTGGAGGCGTTGCTATACGTCTATTTTCTAGTATATAGTTCCTAAAAAGTCCAAGACAAAGAGATTAACAACATAAAATGAGTGATTATGGTAACATTGAATGTCCCGTGTGATTAATAGAAGTAAGAAGGTAATGTTGAATCCACATTTTGCTAAAATATATATATTAATTCTTTTTGTAATAAAACTTTTTATTATCAAATAAAAATGTACCGCTCAAGAAAAAATAAAATAAAAAGAATGTTAAAGCAAGAATAGTCCAGTTTTCTGTCACGACCCAAAATCTCACCTGTCGTGATGACGCCTATCTCAATACTAGGCAAGCCAACAATCTAAATAAACTACCATATCTTTTAAGTTTGAAAACAAAATAATTCAATTCAGCGGAAAAAAACTCACAATTTCGAATATAACACTCCCAAAATCCGGTGTCACTGAGTACTTGAGCATCTAATATGAATACAAAGTCCGACTGACAAAATCATTGTCTGAAAATATAGAACAATCCAATAATTAAACAGGAAGAGAATCAAGTTTGCAGACGTCAAGCAGCTACCTTGATAGTCCCCAATAGAATTAACTTTGAAATCTAGCAGATGCTGTATCCGGGAGCACCTGGATCTGCACACGAAGTGCATAGTATAGTATGAGTACAACTAACTCAATAAGTAACAAGACTAACCTCTGGGCTGAAAGCAATGATGAGCTCCGCAGGTACAGTCCAGTATAAATAATGGTATAGAAATGTAGGCATGCTTTCAAGTTCAACAGTTAAACTCAGTACAAGTGAAATTGATAAATACTGCATGATATGAGGAATACGACATCTCAGTAGAAAGACCTCAAGTAAATACCGGTCACCAATTATTCGGTCACCCGGTACTGTTTATGGCCAATCCAGTCCAGGGGTGTTCCAACCCGTATATATATACACATCGACTGACAGTCAGTCACTCAGTACCGTATAAGGCCAATCTAGCCCTGGGGTAATTTATCCCCAAATACAAAATGATACGGACAAGATCCATATCCAAGTAAATTCATTACAATATAAATAAGTAAGGCAAGTCCATGCCCTGGGAAGTCTATCCCGAATATATATAATTATCTACGCTCACTAGGGGTGTGTACAGATTCCGGTGGGGCTCCTTCAACCCAAGCATAATATAAAGCCTATATGGCCTACTGCAAGCGGGCAGCCCCGATCCGTATAATAACAAAGCATATAAGGCATGCTGCAGACGGGCAGCCCCGATCCATAAAATAGTAAAGCTTATAAGGCCTGCTGCAAGCGGGCAACCCCGATCCATATAATAATAATGTATAAAGCCATTATGGCTTGCTGCGTCGCGCAGCTCAATCCCATAAATATCCTCACAATGGACAAATATTACTGAGTGTGAAATGTATATTTTTGAACAATTAATTCAACATCAACACGACCCCATGGGTCCCAAAATATTGGCACGTAGCCTAAACATGATCTTTAATAGGAGCCTCAGCTCAATTTCTCTAACACGTGAAGAATGTTCAGATAATAACATGATTTATTAATCTTACAACTGCACAAGATTTATTCAAGACACAATTTATATGGCGCACATCACATACTCGTCACTTATAGTGTACGTCACCTCCAAATAATTTATATCATACCAAATTCGGGGATTCATACCCTCAGAACTAAGTTTAGAAGTGTTACTTACCTCAAACCGTGTAATTCTTTACTCCGCTATGCCTTTGCATTGTGAATTAGCATCCAAACGCCTCGAATCTAGCCACAATTAATTCGATTCAGTCAATAAAATTTATTGGAATTAATTCCATAAGAAAATACTAATTTTTTCATAAAAATCCAAAATTTAGCTCAAAAATTGTCCGTGGGGCCCATATCTCGGAACCCGACAAAAGTTACAAAACCCGAACACACATGCCGATACGAGTTCAACCATATCAATTTTATCAAATTCCGATAACAACTCGACCTCCAAATATTAAAATTTTATTTTTGAAAGATTTTGCAAAAATCTTGATTTCTTCCATTTAAATCCGAAATAAATGATGAATATAACCATATAATCATAAAGTGTAAGCACTTTCGGATATAGAACACTTACCCCGAATCCATATGGTGAAAATCACCTCAAAAATCGCTTCAATCCGAGTTCCATAGCTCCAAATATGTTAAAAATGGCTGAAACCTCGAAATATAGCTACTGCCCAGGTATTTACCATTCCCGATCGCGAAGCACAACTTTTCTCAGCCCAAATATTTCCTTTCGCGATCGCGAAGAATAAGTGCACACCTCTTCCAGACAGCCTCTAGTATAATGGTCATAACTGTTTGTACATAACTCCAAATTACAATTGGTTTAACCTTCTAAAATCTAGACACCAAGGACTATAACTTTTATTTGTTGCTCATCTCCCAATTCCTTATAAATTGCGAGATATAAGCTTCCAAAGTCAGCCCTGTGCAATAGAGATTTCCAAACTCTTCCCAGATAGCCTATAGTGTATCTACCATAACTTTTTTTTACATAACTCCAAATGACAAATGGTTTAACTTTCTGAAAACTAGACATAAAGGTCTACAACTTTCATTTTTATATCATTTTCAAATTCCTTATAGATTACGAGATATAAGCTTCCAAAGTTGGGTCAGTGCAGCAGGATTTTCCTCTACGCGATCGCGAAAAGGCTTCCGCGATCGCGATTCACAGTGCCCAAACAACAAAATTGCTCTTCGCGATCGTGACCATTTGTCCGCGATCGCGATGCATACCTCTGTGGCCAAAAAACATCAACTAAGAATGGCCTAGAAATGGTCCGAAACCACCCCGAAACTCACCCGAGCCCCACGAGACCTCAACCAAATATACCAACAAGTCCTAAAACATCATACGAACTTAGTCGAAACCTCAAATCACATCAAACAATGCTAAAACTATGAATCATGCCCCAATTCGAGCTTAATGAAACTAAGAAATTCTAACTTTTACATTCGATGTCGAAACCTATCGAATCAAGTCCGATTGACCTCAAATTTTGCACACAAGTCATAATTAACATAACGAAGCTATTCCAATTTCCAGAATCGGATTCCGACCCAGATATCAAAAAGTCAACTCCCCGGTCAAACTTTTCAAAAATTCATCTTTCGCCATTTCAAGCCTAATTTCACTACATGCCTCCAAATAATTTTCCGGACATGCTTCTAAGTCCAAAATTACCATACAGAGCTATTGGAATCATCAAAATTCAAATTCGAGGTCCTTTAGACATAAGTCCACATCTTGTCAACTTTTCTAACTTAAAATTTTCAATTATGAGACTAAGTGTCTCATTTCACTCCGAATTTCCTCCGGACCCGAACCAACTAACCCGGTAAGTCTTAAAATGACTGTAAAGCATAAATTGAGCAGTAAATGGGGGAATGGGGCTGTAATACTCAAAACGACCAGCCGGGTCGCTACATCTTCAGCTCTCTATCTATCATGTTATACTGACAAGGCTACTCTCCTCAGCAATCACAATCAGTTTTATCTATTGCTTAAGGGTAGAAGTTCAGGCTACTCAGATTCCTTAACAAGTGTGGTTTCATGCCTCTTATATAAAATATTTTCTGCACTGTCAACTTGATGATGCTCCCTTGCTTGTTTGAAATATGTTTTGGTTCCTTTTCTGCCAAATGTAGTAAATACAGCTGCAAATGACATTTTATAAATTTGAGTATTGCTATTGTTGTCAATAAAATTAGCTAAAGCCCAAGACAACTCCTCATTCCATCATATTGGTTGCCTGGAGATATATTACCATTGCAAAATTCTGCCGAATCCCAACAGATATTACACTTATTGAAAGAACATATTATTGGATTAAAACGGCCCAAAGATACTCTTAATATAGTGTGATATCACGATTTTCCTCAAAAAGCCTCACGCCATTATGAGATCCTTACTCCTTATATATAGACTCCCAATCTTTTCAGCTACTAATGTGGGACTTCGTTCACACACTCAACAATCTCCTCCTCGAACTAAGTTTCACGTGGCCCACTACCACGATACACGGGTCTCCCCCTCGAACCAAGTTTCACGTGGCCGATTACCACGATCCACGTGTCAATTTCCGAAATTCACTGTGTGCTGCCCACATTATTAGAATATTTATGGCAAGTGAAGAGCACAACTAGCTTCTTCTTGTGTGCGCGTCTTCAAGCTTGTAAGGGAAAGTAATACTCGTCCCGCTGAATCTTGGCTTTGATACTAGTTGTTTTGGGCTAAAATGGCCCAAAGATACTCTTAACATGGTGTGATATTATCTGCTTTGGGCCAAGCCCGCACGATTTTCCTCAAAAGGCCTTACACTATTAATAGATCCCTACACCTTATATAGGCTTCCAATCTTTTCAGCTACCAATGTAGGACTTTTTCACTAGCCCAACATATATGTGATACACTCTCAGCTTCTAAGTTACACGGAGGGCAAGTTGAGTTAGATATTATGCACCCACTGCATCAATATGTCCTTACTGTACAATCTCCCATAAGCAGCTAGTCTTAGGATAAAAATTTGTTTTGGTGTGCCATAATTGTTATGCACCATCCTCTTCCAGTAAACCTTAGTAAACTTCCCTCTTAACTTCTGAGAAAAGTTCTTGATAGAACATTAATCAATAATGAGCAAATCTTTCATAACTAGCCCAGCTTGTGTAATATATATACATGTCACTTGATTAACTTCTCTATAAACATGGCAGATCATTCAAAAGAGACTTGCAATGGTATGAGTATGAGTATTTTTGTTCATTAGTATATGGAGGACTACCTATGAGTTGATGGTGATTTTCAATGAGATTAGGATGATTTTCTTTTTCTTTGAAGAATGACCATAAGTTCAATTTTTGTATTTTATAGAGTTGATTAGGTTTGTGAAAAAAACTAAGACCCAATCTCTTTTGCTATATTTAAAAATGCCTCATGTTCTTCCTATCTATTAGTTTGAGTGCTCGTATGGATTACTAACGAATTTGGTTCTTTACCGTGTTCCTTAAGCGTAAAGTAAACAAGTAATAAAATAAACACAACAATTTTTACGTGAAAAATCACCCGGCTCAAAACCACGACCTACCATGTAGGATTTCCAACTCTAACTTCACTAGAACAATGAGCCAAAATGTATCGATCACAAGACTGTAATTAAATACTCTCTAGTACTCCTACTACTCCTATTTAATTCACAAGTTACTCTAACTTGTAAAGCAAAATATCCACTCCAACTCACTAATTATTTATGACACTTGATTACAACTCAATTTTCTAAAACACATTCACCAGACTGACTCAGGAAGAATACAAGGCAAGTACTCAACACAAGTAAACGACTAATGATTCTTTAGTTGATGTGTAAAAGGATAGTGCAGAAGTCCAAAGTCGATCCTATTTAAAACTCAGCTTGAGATCTTCTAGGAGTCCTATTCATAGTCAGCTTCCTCTTTGATAGGACTCCTATTGTTCCAAGGATTTCACAAGCTTTGGGACTTTTGTCTCTGACTGAATTATCTGTATCTTCTTGAGCAACGACCCTTATCACTTATAGCAACCATCTTCTACCAAACTCAAACCTGGGTAACTTTGAGATAAAGTTACTATCTTGTACAGACGTACAAGTATCAATCATGAGGAACTGATTCTTTCTCTTGAGGAGCTGGTTCTTCAGAACAGTTAAGCAACTACGTTGAGGATCTGGTTCTTTGAATATTTATTTATACTTTTTAAATCATCAAAACTTCAATACTCAGTAAATTCCCCCTTTTTGATGATGACAAACTTTGTACACAACAGAACTAGGTAATCACATCAAAGAACCAGATAATCATAACAAATACTATTGACAAACATGTATGTTCACAGCCCACAACCTTCCAACCTTATCTTCCTCCTTTTGGCAACATTGAAAACACATAAAAAAAATATTAGACATTAAGCACATATAATGTAAGATTCAAGGCCAAACAAGTGACAACACAAGCTTAAGAAAAGGCAAATAGACTAGGCTGAGGATCCAATATAGTACAAAGCACTAAAGTAGAGCAATAGGAGACATTAAGTAGTGACAAAAGAAGCCCAGGGCCTTGTCTTCATCATTAGAATAAAATAAACTAAGCATATTGCAAACTACTTAGATTAAGACGAAAAGGAACAAAAGATAAGGCATCACTGGAATAGCAAAAGAACTAAGGACACTGGGAAGGAACAGGTTTATGGCTGAGAAGCAAAGGGGGTCAAAGCTTTCACAAGGGTGGCAATCTGTTGAGCATGAGCATCCCTATATCTTCTGAGCTCTTCCCTGAGTTACTTTATTTCCTTTCTCAGCTCATTATTGTATTCACGAAGCTTGGTATTCTCTTCAACAGCCAACTCCAACCTCTTGCTGAGCTTTGCAACCATACTGCTCCCAGGTAGAATAGCAGATCATGTGGGTCCTCTAGCCTTGATATCCTTATACCCACACTGCTTGAGGGTAACAACATCCAAAACGTCATTGTGGTTTCCAAACTTAAGCTCAGGTAAGGCAATGTTGAGCTTGTTAAACAACTCAGTCAACATGAAATCATATGACATAACATGCTTGGGTTTGGAAGTATCTGCAGCTCTTGCCATGTGCTGAATCATCAGGCTAGGAATATTTATAGGTCGACCAGTGTCAAGAAACTCCATCAAAGCCATGTCCAGTAGAGTAGCTTCATGCCTTCTCTCAGACCTCTAAAGAATGCATGAATTCACAAACTAAAACAATAATTTGTAGAAGGGAGTCATATCAATCTTGTACACTTTCTAGGGAGCATCTAGTTCAAACTTTTGGGAAAACTTCCTGGTGGCCACAATGCTAGTGTCAACATCATTGACTATGGCTGGCCACTTCTTCTTTAAGTAATTATCAAATCCCAGGGAAGAGATATTCAAAAGCATCCCCAACTCCTCAGCATCAAACTCCATGTCAAATCCCCTTACCTTACTTTTGACTACCTTCCCATCAAATGTGAAATTTGCATAGAACCCCACCACAGCAGGAACACATATTGGGTGGGGGGAGGGGGGGAAGCTTTAACAAACATGTGCTTCCACCCATGAAGCTCAAGTTTTTCAACCAGTTGAGTCATCTTCTTCTTATCAGTGTTCGCAAGAATCTTCCTATTTAGCACTTTTCTGTTCTTGAACTCACTGAGTCGATCAACTGCAGCTGGGACATTCTTTCTTGTCCTACCCCTACTAGCCATTACAGAAGAGGTAGCAGGTTTGGTGACTTTTGGCACCCTTTTTCTTTGGTGTAGCAGACTTTGCTGGCAAGGCAGAGTCGGACTCATCTTCTCCATCCACCTCAACAATAAGTTCCACAATTGAAACCTTCTTCTTTGGCTTCTTTGCACTTCTAGACTCCTTAATGATTTGTGCATCAATAGCCTTTCTTTTACTCCTTGTGAGAGGAGTTCTGGCAGGAGGAACCACTCATTTCCTTGTTGAGACTGCTGTCTTTATAGTTTTAACATGGGTCTTCCTGGATTTCTTCCCATCCTCTGATAGTGGCACATCATCTTCATCACTGCTAACTTCTTCAGCTCCAGTGAAAGGAGTTAACAGAGACCCAGGTTCTTGAGCCCTTGTCTCTTCACCAGTTTCTTCTGAAGGGGCTATGACAGTGTTTCCAATTGTCATGAAACCTTCAGATTCCTCACTCACATTCACTTCTCCTTCCTCACCCTCTTCATCACCTCATTCACTCTCACTTACTTTTTCTTGATCCTCACCCCCACTTTCAGAAACCTCCTCTTCTTCACTATGATTTTCTTCTTTTGCAGAATCGTTAGTTTGTTCTCCTGCCTTATACTCTGCATCACTTTCCTTCTCATTTCCAGACGCTCCCTTATTCTCACTCTCTTCTTCTTCATTGGCTATATTTTGAGCATCGTGTTCCTCATGACTGTTCACAACTTCTTCTTCTTTTTCACCCCCATCATCTTCCTCATTCCCAGTCCAACTATAAGAAAGACCATCAGAAGCCTCATTTTGCACAGGTTCTTTACTTCTTTCCCCCTCAACCACAGGCTCCACAACCATTGTATCTACCTCCTTCCCCAGATCCCCTGCACCCTTTTCTATAGTAAATTTATCCACTGGTGGCTTCTCACTCGAGGGTGGGAGAGTATGTAGGGGTGCAACATCTATAACAGACACAAAAATATCTAATTTGGAAGGAGGATGTTGTACCTGATCAGTAGTAACTGGCACTGATTCCCCTTAAACCACAGATTCCTTGGCTACAGTGTCACCTTGCATAGCAGCATCAGGCACTTTCTTGACCGATTTTCTTGGAGTGGCTTTGATATTTGTTGACTTAAAGGTATTTTTCGCAGGAAGCTCAGGTGCATGGGTAGTTGTTTTTTGAGAAGGGGATACAATGGAGGTGGGAATGATGGGAACAACATGAACAGTAGGAACCGGGGATGATGATGCCTAGTGTAGGATATCAAAGGAGAAGGAACAAGTATAGGTTATCTTGATGTCTTGGCATTTTTCTTTAATTTGGGCTTCATGATTTTGGGTTTTGCTTCAGCCTTAGTTGATGATTTAGCTTTAGAGTGTGTTTGAGTGGCTTTAGGCATGTTGATCAGATGAGGGACTCGAAGGAGAGAAAGAGAGAACTAGTTCTTGATAATTGCTTTTGATTCTTGCTTAGGGTTTGAGAGAAACAATGAGGTCTGAGAAGCTAATCATAAGAGCCTTTTAAAGGCATTACTCCTGATTTGACTGGAATAGAGAAGGTGACCGAATTTGAGTTCTAACGGGACTCTTATAACTATTACTTTGACTGTTAGAATTTCAGGAGTAATTGATCTCTAATTACACTAGGATCTCCCCTTACTCTTTGACTAGAGGACGATTAGAAGTGATGACAAGGAAATTAGAAGTTTGAATATAGCAATAATTTTAGGATATAAAGTCCTAGTGACTTAAGACAGTATGGCATGTACCTGAGTCAAAGAACCAACTCCTTAGCAACTCCTTATTTGTTTTTCCAATAAAGCCTCAACACTTCATATTAGTATCATACAACACAGTTATCAGCAAGATTTTCCAAGCAAGCGTGTGAGCTTAATACAAGCACAAAGATGAATCAAATACATTGTACTTAGTTATGTACATCTTATTATGCCTTTTCTAGACAATCACTGGGATTCAACTTAGTGGGAAGATTTGATTAGACCTAGTTCTTGTCTACTCCTTTCAAAGTGATCCCTACTCAGAGCTTTAGTAAAAATATCAACAATTTGATCTTTAATTTTACAAAATTTAATTGAGATATTCCACTTTTCAACATTGTCTCTGAAAAAGTGATGTCTAATGTCAATGTGCTTGGTTCTCTTGTGCTGACATGGATTTTTTGCAATGTTTATTGTAATGACCCAACCGGTCATTTTAACTTTTAGAATCCCATTCCCTAAAATAAAACTTTTCATAGGTTCTTGTAATGATTTATGACTTGCGGGGATGGTTGGTTCGGGATTTGAAAGTGTTTGGG